AAATATTATTTTCAGTGACAAAATGTTAATGTTTGATTAAAATTCTTATTTTGCAGTGTGGAAACATGTAAATCCATGTTATTTTTAATAAAACATTTGTCACTTAATGCAGCAAATTTGGATTTCACTTTAATTTTTTCGTGTCCATATAAATTTGAAACACACCTTAAAATTCCAAACAATTACATAAAATAGTAAATTTTGACGGGCAATTTTTTTTTTTTTGCTATTTTGGTTTTTTTTTTGCTATTTTTTGTTTGTTCAATTTTAAAATCCCACTTTCTGAACGTTTCAGAAAATAGGATTTGAAAATTGCTAGCCAGCTAGCCAGTTATGATTCCATATACATAATATATAATTCCTAAATAAAAATCATAACTAACTCAAGTGAATTTAGATCATTTAAAAATATTATGGATACAAGATCAAAGTACTGTAAAAATATATTTCATGTATTAAATATTAAAAACTATATTAAAATAAAATCGTAATATTCTATAATCTTGGTAACAATATTTTTAAACTGTCTTCCATAAAAGTTTTCAGAATGTTATCATAAGTCAAATGAAAACACAAATATCATTATTATTATTTGATGATACTTATCAAAAATTAAAATTTCTTCAGAACAAAATCTATTAAAAGATTAAATCTCTTATTGTAAAAGAATCAAGAAAATACAAAAAATTATTCTAAGATTTTTTAAGCAAATTTCTTTAGACAATAAGCATAATTAAAATTCACAAAATTAGATGAAACACTAAAATTAAAATTGCCTTCATATTTTGTCCCTTTTTCCCCTCAGGAATATAGTGACTATTGTTAGATATTTTCCTGATGTGTGAAAAGGGACAAAATGTGAAGTCACTTTTAATTTTAATGTTTCTCCTAATTTTAAACATTTTATTCAATAATACAAGTGTTTTGTTTCACTCAATTTTATAAACTAGACTTTTCTTTGTTTTACTTTTGAGATTTCCTTTATCATTTAATATATGATTCCATTATATAAACAAAATATAAATATTAATATTTGACTCAAACTAAATTGAATATTCATTTAAACAGTAATTTAAAACAAAATTTTTAATTAAAAATCATCATCCTACTTTATCTGATAAAACTGGTTCCACTTGACTAGATCGCTTATCCTGATTTTTAGATGTATCTTTAAGCCATGCAGGTTGATGCAATCCATTATCACCATTCTCTTTATCCTAAAAACAATTATTATTGAAGGGAATCAATAAGTTACAAATTCATATTTTAAATTCTAAATTATTAAATTTAATTTATGTACATTTTCTTTATTCATAAATATACGAGATGGTGGCCGACGATTTGGAGCTTTTGCCCTGCTTGCAGCAAGATGTGTTAATTTTTCAGGGGAAGACTCTATAACATCAAATGTTAATTCATCTGATAAAGAAAAAAAATATGAAACATTATAATTAAATTATTTAAAAACTTATAAAACATAACAACATTACATTACCAATACTGCTATCTTGATTTTCTTGTAATGATTTTGCTTTCATATCATCAGTCAGACCAACAGTTCCATTTGTTAATGCAAGTGAAGTAGACTGAGTGGAAGAAGTAGGAGATGATGAATTTTGACTGGAAGCTACAGGAGAAATGCTGCTTGTGTTAATATTTGGTTTAGATCCAAGTGAGGATCTCTGAGGTTTCTTCAAGGGAGGAGGAAGTTGGGGATTTTTACCAGGTAATGGTGGTGTTGGTTTTTCTAGTTTTTCATCTAAAAATATAGTATATTATTGAAGTAAATGATTAACATTAAGGACAAGACTTTAGATTTTAAAGAAAAACCTTTCTTGGGTAGGTCTGGGGCAGGTGGTTTGGGAGGTGGAATCTTTGATGTTCTTTCTGTGCAACTAAAATCTTGATTTGAAACTGGTTTTTTAGGAATATCAGGTTTTACATTACTCTTACTTAATATCACTGTCATTGATGGTTTTTCTGGTCGTTCTGGTCTTCTAAGCTGAACCTAAAAATTATAAATTTTGTTAAGATTTTATAGCATAAATCTATACTAATATTATAAAGAAGTAATGTTTGTAAGTTTGTACGTAGGGGTAATCTCCAAAACTACTCATCCGATTTCAGAAATTCTTTCACTAATATTTAGAATGGAACTTCAGGGTAGACATAGGCTGTATATTATTCTGTTAAACATTCATATAAATTAAAAGATATCATCTAGGGTTAAGGTTTTTATGTCCAATAGATGACGCTACAAGTATGACGACCTAAGTTTGCTTTTCTGAGGCATTATGGTTTTCTGTGAGGATGAACTAAAGCAGATCATCTTCTATCTATCTATATAAATAAAAATGTAATGTTCGTTTGTTCCTACCAATTCCTTTGAAATTTTGACACAACACTGCATTCAAATATGCACGTGTTTTTATATAATATACATGTCGAAATTCCCCCCAATGGGGGAGATGAACAGGATTAAAGATAACTGTGAAGAACTTGGCTTCTATTATACTATTTTAAATGCGGTTTTTTCTATTTTTGATTGTGTTTTAATAGGGTACGTCAAGAGAATGTACACTAAGGGATTTTTTGAAAAATTCCCCCCCCCACAGGGGAAGTGTTATACATTTATAATAGGTACATTTTGAGCCACAACAACGCGTGGCGGGGTCTGTTAGTTTTAAATATAAGTCATTCATATAATATAATTAATCAAAAATCTAAAACTGACTAAACTTTTATTCAGAAAGTCTAATCAAGCAACATCCATCTTTATTTATTATAAATAGCAACCTGTCATACATATACAAGAAAACATCTTGAAATATATCCTGTATAAATGATTATTATTTTACTCTCCTCTTAATGATGTAAATTCAAAAACCATTTTAAGATTTATTAAATATAAAACATTTTGTAGTTTGAACAAATCTTATAAACAATAAAAAATTATATAAGCACTAAATACATACATACAAGAAAGACATTGGCCGTACACAAAGTGTTTAGCTGGCAGAAAAGAGGGTAAGGGAAAGGGGAGAGGAAGAAAGATGGAGAGGAGATAGAGAAAAGAGTAGAGAAAAGTAGGATCCCTCTGAATGGCATACATAAGGAAAGCTACAGTAAATCTATGTTTGATGTTGGTGTGCAGTTTTTAGGCTGCAAGGCCATAGTCCCAAAAGGGACTAAAAGAAAACCTAAGTGTAGCAAACACCAATAATTGAGTGCCACCATGAATAGCTAAGTGTAGAAGTTAGTGCTAAGTGGCTGTTAGTAGGAAGACTTATATCTACTTAATACTAATAAAACTGAATGCCATCACAAATCTTAATACTACTTAACAGCTAGGGAGACAGCGTGAAAAGCAAACAAACACAATGATAAACTAGACAAGACCAACAGACCAACAGAGACAAATGAGCAAGACTCGAAAATTTTTTTATTTTTTATTTTTATGTATTTATTTAATTATATTTTTTTAACATTAACTTACTCACTAACTAAACTAACCTACCATAACCTAGGACAAACCTAACCAAACAACTAAAGTTAACAAATCCTAATCTAATTTAACCTAACCAGAAACCAAGCTAAGAGTCACTAATCTAACTTATAACTAGGACTAATCGAATTTAGACTGAAAAAAGAAGACAGAAAATACGAATTAAAATACAAAGTTGAAAGCTAATTGCCATCCATGCTCCTGGAGCGAGTGCTCTCAAGAACCCCACTAAGGGATATGAATGCGAGTAGATGATGGAAAATTGTATGCATGAATAATACACCCACACTAAATACAGTGGACCCACATTTATCCAGCGCAAAAGGAACCAGGTTTGATCAAGATGATTGAAAATCCAGATAATCAGAAAAATTCATTAATGACATAACAGTTTTATTATTTTTATTTATTTATATTTCTAATTTATTCTCCATCATAACAATCATTTTCATTTAGACATCATTTTCACAGTGTTTACTTCAAAAAAGACTTAAGGTGACTGAAATTCAGTGAAACATTAGTAGCTGAAAGTTTGAGTAAATAACTTGCAAGTTTACAAATGATGAACTTATTAACATGTTGACTAGTGTGAGCAACACAACAATTTTATTCTACAGTAAAGTAGCAATTTTTTATAATTGAAAAATCTTAAAAGATTATTTAATATCTTGTTGAATCTTTTCTAACCTCAAAGAATACTCCCATTGAATGTATAACATGAACATCATATGCCAATATAATGTATATTTATCTTTCATACTTCTGAGATAGGGATTGTGTTTTATAATCTGGATTAACAAGATCTAGATACATGGAGTTCTACTGTATTGATTAATTTGTAAACATATTTTTGTTCAATTAACTTATTACCAAACTGTAAAACGTTTGAAAATTATTATGAAACATATCAGACTTAAGAATGAACAATTACCTAGTTCTGCTTGAAAAACAAATGTAAAGTATAGTTTTATTATCTTAGTATTCCAAATTAAAGATCTTAAGAACTTAAATGTTTTAAGTAGATATTTTCAAATCATTTCAATGTTTGAAATGTATTTAAAATAAATTATTAAATTCTATTTTATTTATTCAAAATTGAAAATATGAGGAAAACTTGATATAAAAATTTATTTATTGCTAAAATTAATAGTATCAGAATATTAAAAGATGAATGAAATTATTCAAATTCTATGTTAAATACATTTATATATGAAACTCAATCAACTAACTATTTTTTTTTTAATTAATATACTATATAACTACTGGATAGCCAATGTTATATGTTGTTATATAGTGATAGATAAAGCTCCTTACAATTTTCTTTCAATTGTTTTCACATTAATATAAGTATAGTCAGACCTAACCCTTGTACAGTAATACAACGAACTTACACGATAGGTGGGACCGAGCGATAACCGCGTAAGTCGGGGTATACTTTCGCAATTCGTCTAAAATCCAAGTCAGATGTATGAAAGCTAATAAATGTTCTCGTTAATCTTATCTCGTCTTATGATATCGTTCACGGTTACAAGAAATCACCGCACAGAGTCTCTCAAGTCTCCGTAGATATAACAAATACAGAAATAAATAACACAAAATAAATTGTAGCTATGTGTCGATTCCGTGCGACACGTCCGAACATGTAAGCTGAACAATAGTGTGGGGGAAGTGAGTAATCGAGAGTTGCGTGGCGCTCAAACAAAAGACAAATCGACGAGATTTGAAAATCGCGTAACTCCGGGTTCGCGTAAGTCGGGGTAGCGTAAGTCGAGGTATTACTGTATACATATGTTATTTGTACAAAATAATTCCGGACGATACAATAGCCACGATTATTTTTTCAAAAACGGAAAATTTTCGTTAGGCATCGACGAAAATTCAAACCGGAGCGACACGCAACGGAGAAAAATTTCGAAATTGGATAGGTTAATTTCACCGAATATGCCACGTGGACGGCTTCGTGGTCGTGGTCGAAGCGGGCGAGGTTTCAAAGATCGTATTCAAAACCAGCGATACCAAAGATTGGAGAATGAGAACGAAACCCGCCTTGAGCTTCGAAGTGATCCCGCTTAGAAGTGAGTCTCCGAGACATACCCTTGCCCCAAATACGGCTTTGCCGTTTTACTTGTTTACAGTAAAATGTAGAAACTGTAAAGTAACCGCATTCCAGAATATATAATCCTCATTATTTATATTTTATTAAAATAATTATTTAACATTACTGAGTTGTATTTATAACATTCGACATTCATTCTGAATATTTGGTTCAATAATATGTTCAACACTGAGTGAGAAAAAAATGGTCGATGAAGACAACGAATTCACACCCAAATTTATCTTTCTATAATTTTCAATACAGTAACAATAAAACAATAAATATATCGCCATTTAATTATTTTGTATTGTGAAAGGTAGACATGTTTACAGTACTAAATAAAATATCATAAATATGAAAAAATTCAATTTATTAAATAGTTCCTTGGCAAAATTTAATTTTTCGAGTTTTTTTTGCAAATCTCCTGAAACCAAAAGTAAAAAAATAGGCAAAAAAAATTCCCTGGTTAAGTGTGTGTATGTATTTATGTGTGTGTGTGCGCCCTCTTAATGCGGAAAAACTTTGTATAGAAAAATCTGCTGTGTAACTTACACAC